ATCGGAACGGCATACTTTTAACAATAATACGTGACGCACGAGCGAAACAGAAGAATCGTGCGCCTCGCCGCGCTAGCCGGCTGATGTAACGACGTCGGGAGCAACCGTGACGGGTGCGGCCTTCCGGATGCGACCGGATGTTGGACGAAGTCCATTACGACGAGCGGTAATCCTCCTCCGCACGGAATCGTCGCGCGCGGAGTTCTCTGAATTCGACGATAAATCGGGGCGAACGCTGCCTCGTTTCATTACGAAATGGATTACCTCTTTTTTTCTCTCCCCGATGAAATAATTTGACCGAACGTTATAGTTGATTTGTGCGATTAAACGACGAACGTGTACAGAATTGTATTAGTTTGTGTCAACAGAATTGGTTAAAACGGCCCTTTCGGGATGCAGTCTAGCGAAATCGATACGAACGAGAGCCGAGCAGGCAAAGATATGCATATTTGCAAGATTTTCGAGTGGCCCGACAATTATGTGCACGTTTCTTGAATTAATTCAGAAAGAGGATAATCGAAAGTCCAATTAGCTTGTCGCGACTGTTTACCTTGCCTCGTGCGAATTTCGTCCACCTTCCGTTTAATCTGCGCATTATATGGGAATATCCACAGTGCGTCTTAATTACGATTAATTACAGTACGATTAAATCGAGTAGCGCGCGAGGAAAAATCGCAATTCCTCTAACTACTACCTTTCTATTCGTGTCTAAGCGCCTCAAAAATTCGGTCAGACTTCATGCAACGTATCGCAGGATCTCGGAACAAACAGAGGGAGAGAGAGAGAGAGAGAGAGAGAGAATGAGAAATTTGAAAGATGAAATTTTTTCTATTAAATGAAGACACAAGGAACGCGGAAAGACACGTATCACGGAGACTACGGAGCTCTATGATGGACAGCTTCGACGAATAATCATTCATTCATCCGTTCACTCATTTATTATCATTACATTTACGCGTTTGCGTGGCCATCACACTGTGACACACACGTGCGCGCACACACACGCACGCACTGCCGTGAAACTTCGTAACAATAGTTACGAACGAGCTCGAATAACCGACAGGAAGCGTTCCTCGTCTGATTTGAGAACGGGTGTGCGTGCAACCGTGTGTTTTGCTCTCTGTCGTATATCGCTCGCAGGTAACGAAGCGGATCGCCCCGCAGCTCCGTATCTATGACGCACGTACAGGGTGTCGCAGGTTCGCCACACCTTCTTTCTATCTACCGATAAATTCTTTGAACCTGAGCAACGCGTTGCCGGGACTTTTCGGTTAATCTGAAATCGCCCCGTTGAAGATTATTTATGACGGTATTCGACGGGTTGTTCCTTTCGAGTATCGCCCGATTTACCTGGATAACGTATGGAAAATTGCGCGGAAAATTGTCCGCGTACACGGGGAGGAATAAGTTAAATTGCTCGACTGCTCGGACTATACGATAAACGATTCTGGCAAATTCCGTTCTGAGCTTGCCGACGAATGTGACAGTGATACGTCGCAATTGACCTCCAGATGAATGTTTTCAGCGAAATCTTTAATTGAACTTTCCTCACGCGGATACGCGTAGCGTCAGGGAGAATCAAAAGTTCCCCGTGAAAATCGTGCGTTGTTTGGGAAATCCAGGAACGCATAGACGAAACGGTATGCGGTGAGCCGGGGACGTCCCTTATTTTTATACTGGATAGAGGAAAGAGAGAGAGAGAGAGAGAGAGAGAGTGAAAAAAGGGGAAGAGCAGCGATCGATTCGATTACTCGCGCGCTTAGGATTCTCCCGGAATCGAGTCGCGCGCTGTTCGTTCCGTCGATGGAAAACGAGACTGAATAAAGTGACTGAAATCGAGTGTCGCTTCCGGTGTTCTTTTTTCCACTTCTTTTTTTTTTTCTTTTAAGAATACGCCACCCACGCCGATAACGATAATCACCGAATGAGCGACCACGTCTTATTACGTATTGATGGCGTATTATGCAATAAAGAAGCGCGTGTGCTCGATAGTTACGCAACCCGAGAGCGCGTTGCGCCGCGTTATAGCGAGCCGCGGTGCATTGTGAGAACGTGACGTCATTTATCGCGTGATATAAGTTCGCGTGCCGGGGACAGCTGAGAAAGAAGATTGCACAAAGAAACGATGCGCGTATCGGTGCGGCTAAAACCAAAGGTGTGCGCGGCGCGTCGCTTTGGACGGGGTCGGGCTTATGCGCTGCACACACACGCGCGCGAGTCGAATTTAGTTTAGTTTAGTTTCGGTCCCAGTGATTGGTTATATTCGACAGCCGTGACTGAAGCGGCTGTCGATAGGCTCCAACTGAGAGATACTCGATCAGGGAACAGACGATAGGCCGCGCGCGATAAAATCGACTGATCCAACTCGCGATATGCGCGCGATGTATCTCGCGGCGCAACTCGAAACTACGCGTTTTTAACGTTTGTGATTCCTGTGCAAAATTCGCCCAACACCCATCCCGAGGTGCGTTGCGTTAATCTGTTTTCGCGCAACATCATTCGTCGCGTATTCTATTTTCGCGGCGAAAATGTCGGCCCGGCGATTCGATAGGAAAATCGCGAGGTTCCGCAGCCATCGGCCGAGTTCCCGTCGCAGTCGAATCGGCGGGCGCGCGAGCGCGGTGTTTCAAATTGAAGTAATTAAAACCCGGGCACGCGGGGGCTCAGAAAGTTGGCTATTGTCAGTCGGGAGCGTGTGCCTTGTTAAATTTCTCGGTCGAGCGGGATCCTTCGTCCCAAGTGGAGCGAAACGGATGGCCAATGGCCAATGATGACTCTAAACTCCCCCTTTGCCCCGCCGCCGTCCCTTCTGCCGCCCTTCCTGCTACCCTTCCCCCCCCCCCCNCCCCTCGCCCCTTCGTCCAGTCGTCGGTCGTACCCGGTGCGCTTCCGATTCCCTTTCTGTCTCCTTTTTAAAAGCCCCTCTTTCCCTCGTTTTCCTCTTTCTCGTAAAGTTCGTGACTCACCGGCAGATCTCTCTCGGAAAGGGGTTAAAAAAGCAATGAGGGTCGCATCTTCGAAGTTCGAGATTTCTCAGCGGCATTCTCGTTAGTATCAAGACAGCTCTGGGTGGTGTTGTTATTGTTTCGCGAGAGAAATGCGCTAATCTGTTTCACCTCCGTGTTAATTGTTTTTTCTGGATTTGATGTTTGGTAAAAAAAGGAAAGAACACTTGTTAAAATAATAGCTTGAATTGCGTCAGTGCATCGATGTATCTCCTTGAAATTAAACAGGCAGATGTCGAATAAAATACGCGTGTTATATATATATATATATATAATCCTTTGGTGTTTGTACTTTTACACATCCGAGATGGCGAATCTAATTGCTAATGCTAATGAAAGTCGCATCAGCGACGCTATATGCGTTTTGGAATTTCATTCGGCAAAAGAACCGTCGCGAAATTGGAGCATCTTCACGTGAGTGAAAACGGGCTAATCGCGTATTTTTCTGCCGTCTAAAGGCCGCCGAGCGAACAAATATTTAGCGAGCCGCGCGCGCGAGAAACGCGTGCGAATAATGCTTTATGTTTTGTGTGCCGGAACGCATGCGGGAAAAAGGTTAGACAAATATTAAAGGCAAACAGAGAGGAGCCGGATTCGCGGCGCGCGCACGCGGCAAACTTGTTCCGGCCTCGTATATCGTTTCTCTTGAATCCGCCACCCTTTTATCTCTCTCTTACCGTATCGCTTCAACCGACCGAAACGAAACGGGCGATTTTAGCTGGCATTATTACCGCGCCTCGTTGCTATTATGAGCCTCCGTCCGTTGACGCAATTTAATGTGAATCGCGTTGTTCGGCGAACGAGAGAAACGCGAGAAAGGAATTACAGCGGCAACAGCAGGGACAAGATACGTCGCAAACGAGGCGGGCTCCGCTTTTTTCTTCCCGCTGCCGCGGGTCTAAGGCGCGTTTTCTGTCGTAAGCAGACACTGTCAGGACATCCGGCATCTGTGATACGTTTCCAATATTTCATCGGCTCGTTTGCGTTATTTCGCTAGACAACTCGTCGATGCGAGATCATCGGCTCTATGATTCAGCTGCAGGTACTACCATTTTTGTTCTCCGCTTTCATTTGAATAAATCTTTCCGTACGGTCCACTTTTGCGTTATTACTTGCGCTTGCAGCGGCATCCACTTCATTAGTCGAAATCAAAAAGTTTCAAAAGAGTCGAAAGCCAAGCCGCGCTTTTCAAGTCGAGATTTTGGTTCTATGTTAATTCTGCAAGTTTCAACGAGCTTAAAGGACCAATGGAGAAATCTTGAGATATTGCACTATATAAGTTAATGTTCTCCTTTTATTTCACTCTCCTTTTCTCCTTAATTTTAATGAGCAATATATTAATTGTGTAACTAACATAACTACAGATACTGTATTTACTACGAGCAAATATTAAGTAATTAATACAGGTAATTAGTCGGATTGAATTCTGTGGGTAAATAACGTAAGTAACATAACAAATTTCACTCATAATTGAATATTTCGAAATATACAATAGCATTTGGCAATTTTAAAGGGATAAAAAAAAGGAGGGAAATTATAAGAGCAAATATAACAGTCATGCGTCCAATTAATATTGTGTATCAACGGATATCTTCAATTTGGAGTATTTGAACAAAATAACAATGAGAAACAGATGTGAAAAGAAAACGTTAGCCGATTTAAGTTAGAAGTTACGCCTTAAGGATCATTGTTAGATGCTCAAGTTAGCATTTGCGAGATTCATGTTAAATTCTAAGATCGATATTTATAGTTGTAGGTTATTTTTGATTGAAAACGTGAGTAATTGTAGATTCGTATTATGTCGACCCGTTATTCGGCTGTTTGGGGATTAATATTTTTTATTTATTGTTAGATATGAGTGTAAATACAAGTTGATTAATAATCAGAGTTTTACAAAGCTATAATCACTTATCAAATAATAATAAACAATGAGTGTCGGTTTATATTTCGACTTGGTGTTAAAGTATTGAATTAATCAAATATTAAATCATTCAGACGCCAGTTTTTTCTTGAAGCCTCAACATAAAGAAAACGACAGTGAGCAACTATCTGTAACGTTAAGAACAAAATATTGTGTCTGCGAAATGTATCTCGAGATTCTTCATTGGCTCTTCAAGTTCGACGGAATTTGCGGGGTTAATGAAGAACCAAAATTTCGATTTTCGGGCGCCCTCGATAGACTGTGCGTTTATGTGTAGCGGGTTACTCGTTTTACGTACACGGCGATAATAGTTTGTTAACATCGATATAATAACAACAATCATAGACTGTTATCATAATTAATGTTACTATTATTAATATTAATCGCGTGTGCGCTTAATGGGGTTCAATGCAATGAGACTTGAGTGATCGATAATTGATGCAGCGTAATACTGTGTTGGCTAGGTGCGTGGCGTGCGCGTTGCGAATGAATTAATTCAGGCCGTGTAATCGGACTATTAATCGAATCTACACACTCCAAATCAGGAATGATGGGCCGTTCGCGCCTTTTAATAATCCGTACATTTTGATTCGAGGCGCGAAGCCCGACGGGAAACTTGATTTCTATCTACGTTACACGTCAACGAGCGGGCGCGGGGGGGGGGGGGGGG